TCTGGATACAAAGTGGCCAAAAAAAATGTTTGTTACCTACTACTAGGGGTGTACAAAGAAAACCGATAAACCGCACGAAACCGATAATCCGAGTCAAACCGAAAAAAAACTCGATCTGGTTTGGTTTGATTTGGTTTGGTACTGAAAAATAAAACTCTATAATTGGTTTGGTTTGGTTTTAACTAAAAAAAATCAAACCGAAACCAAACCAACCCGATAGTACATTTATATAATTTTTAAAAATATTTTATACATATAAATATTTATTGCAATGTAATTTATAAATATTTCTTAAACTTGTTCACAATTTTATTTTTTAACGTATTATTTCAACTTTGGACTTAACATTCTTGAATGATAAATAAATTTTATAGCCCATAAATGTAGTAACTCAAACAAAGTTCAAATCAATACTAATGCTAACAAAAGAAATTCAATTCAATACTAGGAATGATGATAGTGTTGGATAATTATTTTAGTTTTACATTGGTTTATAATGAAAATGCATAACTCTGTTTATCTTTTTCTTTAGTGCTTAGTTATGTAATTAATATTAGTACTTATTGGCTATGCTTATTTAGCATGATCTATATAGTATTTTTAGATTATGTTAATTTTTATCATGGCTTATTAATTAGCAATATTTGTTTTATGTAATTTTATTATTTTATTTTTGTTATTGAATATTTTAGTATAATGTTATGACTTATCTCATATTATTGCGTTAGTTTCTTGAAAAATATATTATATAGTTGTATTTTACTATGACTTAAGAAATATTTGGAGCACAAGTTACATATTTTATGCTATGAAGACTTTACCCGAAAAAAATCGAAAACCCAAAAAAACCGAAAATATTCGAGAAAAGCCGAAATTAAAAATTCTGACTTTGTTGGTTTGGTTTATAAGTTTAAAAACCCGACACCATTGATTTGATTTGATAATTAAAAATTCTGAACCAATCCGACATATGTCCATCCCTACCTACTACGTCCCACCTACCGGACATAGAAACGTTTTCCTCATATCTGAACTATTCGAATTATAAATATTGGTACTTTTTCATTTTGGTATAATAATATACTTATATGGTTGGCCTTCTCGGCAAAATTGAGGGACTACTCATGATATCGAGTAAAAGGAGATTAGGGGTGTTTAAAGAAAAATCAAAAAGTCTAAACTAAACTGAAAATTAAATCAAAATATAAAATAAAACCGACATATTCTCTGATTCGATTTTAAATTATAAAATTGTTTTGGTTCGCTATTTAAAATCGAACCAACCGACTCTGCATGTGTATGTAAGTACTTAAATAGTATTGTTTTATAAATTTTTATGACCATAAGATTTTCTTATAGGGATCTTTTAAACATTTTATATAGTTTTAATCAGAACAAGTTGTATATATGCATTCTTGGTGCTTATTTGAGTTTTCTGTTCTTCTCTATGACTTTATTTAGGAGAGATTTCTACGTTGGTTTAATCATTAATGTTAGGAAAGTCTGAAAAATATATGGACATAAGGTTGTTATTTGATTTATCAAACTCAATAATTGTTATGTCTTGCAATGAAATTTGTTACATGTAAATGTTTCAATAGATAAAGTTAGCTAAACTTGGTAATCAATCTTGGATAGTATATATATGTATTAAGTTAGTTGAACTTGGTAATCAAATTGCCTTAGAAGGCATTTCTATGTTTTGTAATATTGATGACAAATTTAAGTATTAATATAAGTATCTCTTATTATGTCAAAAAAAGAGAGGATAATGATCCAGATTAATTGTTAGAAGAAAAGGACATAAGTTTTAGCAGCCTTACCAACAATTAAAATCCAAGTTTACACATTAGCGGCCTTTTCTTATTATCAGTAAAGATCATCAATTGATAGAGAAAGAAATCCATTAATTGTCCGTATCATTAAGTAATGGCAAGCAATTTCCTAAATTTGCCTTTATTCATATGGGGCCCCACATGAGAGGGTGAAGGTCATTGAAAGGTTATTAGGCTAGAAATTTACCATTTTTTCTAAAGATTTCTAGTGTGGCAAATATATTAGATAATAAATTATTTACCTTATCTTCTCAGTAAATAATATATTAGATAATATTCTTTAGTTATACATATATGGTAGTTTTTTTATGGAAAGAATTTTTTTTTATTAGCAGTCCCTAGGGCAATTATAATTTATGGAGAAATTCCTGGGGCTAAAGTATTTGCCTAAGAGTCCCTAGTCTATCGTTAAATACGCATGTGACTTTATCAGTCTGACATTCTACAATAGACAAAGTCTAGAAGGCTCCTAGGTGTTCTGTCAAGTTTTTTTCCCCAGAAAATGGTCATATATATCTCTCTACTATCAAATATTGTTTAAAGTTACCCACCGTTATACTCATCATCGATAAAAATTGCCCCTACCGTCTTACTATTAAATATATTTGCCCCCTATTTGACGGAAGGGACACATGGCAGCCTTCTATACATTTTTTAATACTCAACCAATTGCCCATAACTTGACCCATCCCGGACTTAATCAACTAAATCCTCATCCCTTTCTCTTATTTTATCTCCTTCCCAAGAGAAGCTCCTTCCTCCATGACTAAGTGCTTCCAAATTTCTTGCAAAATGAATCTTTTTGTTTCAGAGTGTGTAGACTAAGAAATTATTTTAATAATTCCTTGTTTATTGCCTTGATTTCCAAATTTTTAAAAAAATTCCGAAAAGGAAATTTTGTGGCGTTGGATGCTTGAAAATCCAAAAATTGGCTTGATTGTTTGGAGTTGCTCTTGAGTCAGAATTGTGCTAACAACTGATTTAAAGAACTTGGTAAAAATAATCGAACTCCAACTGTTGGGTTCTTAAGTTATCCAAGTTGGAACCAAAATTGTTAAAGTGTTGAATTATTCTACTGAAATAATTATCTGGGTCTATTTTGTTGAGCTAAAATCTTAGATTAACCGCTGCTTTTTAGCTTGGTTAAAGAAGATTTTCAAGTTAAAGATTTGTGGGGTTTCTTGGTGAATCGGATTTGAGGTTCAAAAAAAATATATCTTCACTTTCCGAGTCGAAAAATTCGAGCAACTAAGCGTGAAAAATTCTGTTTGTGCTTCTACAATTGAAAATTCGAATTTGAAGGATTTGATAGTACTTGCAGTTAGCAATTGAGCATTAATTTGATTCTAATTTATGGTTGCTGTTGAGAATTAAGGTTGTAAATATCACTGCAAATTTGGACTTCTTTGAACTTGAATCGTCTATTTTTAAATTCTTTTAAACATTATTGCTTGAGAATTGAATCGTGGTATTGTATGTGCTTAAATCAAAGAGATTAACTACTGCTCGTTGGAAGAATTTAGTGCTAAATTTAAGGACCACCATTTTTGAACACTTCCATATTTTGGAGGAAAGAGCTTTTCTTGTGAAGGAGATGAAATACGTTTTGGGATGGGTCGTATTTAGGGTTATAGATATCGAGTATCCAGTATGGGCAACTGGTTGGCTTATAAAATGTATAAAAGGCTGCCACGTGTTCCTTCCGTCAAATGAGGGGCAAATATATTTAATAGTAAGACGGTAGGGCAATTTTGATCGATTAGTATAACGGAAGGTAACTTTAAATAATAGTATTTGATAGTACAGGGATATATATGACTCTTTTTTTTGTCAAGGCAACTCCACGACACTTGAACAACTATGACTGAAGGCACGTTCCTTGTTGGAAAGATGTGTTCAATTTATGCCACAATCGATGCAATGGTTTGAGCGTTATAGGAAGCGGTCACAGTGGCATATATATTTGTAATATTGCAACGATCGAAATATTTTTGAAGTTCTCACCGGTTTGCATCGAGACCGTGATAATAATACCCACACCATCAATGAGAGCACGCGATTATATTCATGTGGGAAATGGTCGATTTATCACTTGCCTTGCTCACATGTCATGAAGTGCTTTCAATATACTGGGTTTGCAGCGACGAGGTATGTTGATAGAGAATATAGTGTGGCTGCATATGCAAGCACTTATAGCGGGCACTTTCAACCAGTGGTATCTAAGTATTATTGGTTGCCTAGCCATTTGCAATGGTTTGCAACAACAATTTCTTGCGTCGCATGCAAGTGCAAAAAAGAATGCGGATACGAAACCAAATTGATGTTGGTGATATTGTATGTGAGTGTAAATGTGATCTATGTTCCCAAACAGGACATGATCTTCATAAATGTCCTACAATAGGTTTGGGACGCGGTGGCAATTCAGCTCCTGATGATAGTTCATCCAATATTGGTAATTTTCAGAAATATTATTAGTTTTTTATAGCAGTATATTTAGTAGGAATAAGTGTCTATAATGGTGTGTTTGAAATATCAATAAAATAAAATTATATTTCCAATAATATTAACTCTAGTTGACACTTAGCATTGAAAATTCAATAGAAAACTTAATAAAAACTTGAGAAAAAAAGAAATATTTTCATTCGTCATTATCGTCATTGTCGGGAACTAATTTATCGTTACTTATGTCGGTCTCTTTATTGTCATTTTCTTCATCTTCTTCGTCATCGTCTTGTTCGCATCCGTCCGGACTGAGAGCATCATAATCTAACCTCAATTGACACACATTTCTCGTATTTCTTCGCTATTATCAATAAGACCACTGGCTTGATTTCTACAATAATATGGCACTTCGATGT